AAAAAAAAAAGAAAAGCCTCACGCGGCAAATCTAAAACACTTTCATTTTAAATAACATTAATTATAATTAAAAAGAACGGTTGCCCTTGGCTAGGGAAGGGGCAGAGCCACTAGCCAACGTGTCATTCCTCAGTGTATGATCCTAGGGAGTGTCTTTACAGAAGCCGTGAGATCCTGTTCCCTGTCGCTTGGTCAAGTCGCTGTGGGGAGAGTGGGAAGGGAGGGGGAAATGTGCCCGTCCAAATCCAGGACGTCCCTTTTGCTCCGTGGGGGGAGGCCGGAGTCAATAGCAAAAGGTGTTTTGCACTCGCAGCCCCATCAAAAAAGCCACCCTCTGCCCTCACCCGCCTCCGGCCGATGTTGGGAGTGCCGAGGGCACCCAGCTGCCTCCCGCTTTTAGATGAACTTGAAGCATTTTGTCTTGTCGTGGGGCAGGCGGGTCTTGAAGAGGACCGAGTCCACGCGGAACTGGGTGTACAGGAGGGGCATGTACCCGTACACCTTGACGAAGAAGTTGATGCACTTGTGTCGCTCGTGGAAGTGAGAGTCGTCGTGCGAGAGCGCCTGGGGGCACCCGGGGCAGCGGAAAGTCCAGCGGGAGGTCACCTGTGACAAGAGGGACAAAGATGGTCACTGCCAAGCTGCCCACAGCACCCCGGCCGGGGGGACGCCCTGCCTGCGCCCGAGGCACCGCGCAGGAGGCTTGGCCTGATGTCCTGCGTGACGCGCGGCAGACCAGGCACAAATTTGGTCGTGCTCTCCCCAGCTGCCGGGTGTCCCTTGAAGGGTGTCTAGGCAAGGAAGGACATGGTCCACACCAGCTCTGTTAGAGCAGAGGCTTAAAGGGGGACATGGTGATCTATTAACGCTTAGTTACTTTCTTCTGGTTTAACGTTTGAGAAGCTGTTTCAGGGAAAAAAAAGACCTTGAGACAGGAACTCCTTTCTTTTTGCTGGCTACAGATAGAATCACAGAAGGGTTTGGGTGGGATGGGACCGTTAAGGTCCATCTAGTCCCACCCCTGCAGTGAGCAGGGACATCTTCACCCAGAGCAGGTTGCTCAGAGCCCCGACCAGCCTGACCTGGGGTGTTTCCAGCGATGGGGCATCCACCACCTCTCTGGGCAACCTGGGACAGGGGTTCACCACCCTCACTGGGAAAAATGTCTTCCTTACATCCAGTCTGAATCTGCCCGCTTTTAGTTTAAAACCGTCACCCCTTGTCCTGTGGCTCCAGGCCCTTCTAAAAGGTCTGTCCCCGCAGTGGCTCCCACAGGCACAGTCGGAAAATCGGGGGGTAGGCGA